CGGTTGTTATGTGATGAGGTCCCAACTAATTTGCATATTACCCTATTATAAGTATAGATTATTGTCTATATTCTCTATGCTGTACTTTACATCCTTATGACTATTTTGTAACTGCCAATCTGTACTTCTTCATCTTTTCACTCCTTTTACCCAGTTTCCTAGGAGGCAACTGATCGATGTTTCTCTCTCATCGATGTTTCTAACTATATCCTTCTCCCCTCCTCTCTGTAAAAAAATCAATCAAATATATTAAAAAATATATTAAAAGAAAAAAGAAAAAGAAATGCTGTAGTACACCCCCAGGTCTCGCCTTGCCAGATACCTCCCCAGAGCAGGCCAGGCCAGGCCAGCCTGGCACACACCACCAGTACTCAGGAGCACATAAACCTAGGAAGCTCAGAAGTGGTGGATTCTGGCCACCAGGGATTTTAGGGAGACCTCAGCTCTGCCGTGCCCTGACTCATTGATCTCAGTGGGCTTTCTCTTCAGTCATCTGCCTCGCTGTTGAAGATGCTGAGTGCCAGGCACCTCATCTCTTGATCAGGATGGGGGCTGGATGGAACACCAGGGAGCCAGTTTAGTTCCTCCTGAATCCTCTCCCCCGGTGCATAGGAGGGAAGAGCAGGGAGGCCGTGTGCGTATGAAGAGAGAGCCCCTCCTCAGCCCCATTAGACTCAGGGTCAGGCAGGGGCCAGGCTATCCACCTAGGTGCCTGCAGGTCACCCCTAGTGCATAGCCTCACTCCCTTAATCAGCCCAGCAGAAAAGAGATGGCTCTGGCTCCCTGGTCACTGCAGCAAGAAAGCCTGGAGGGGCCTGACTGAGTGAGGGTCAGCCTTTGTCATGAGCACTGGCAGGCTGGCTCCCTCCTCCTGCTGTTTGCCTTGAGGTGAGGCTGTGTGTCTCCTTTCTGATCTTACTATTGCATTGCGGGGCAGTTCAGGGGCAAGGAGAAGCTAAAAAGATATTCACAAGACAGCCTGCGCCCTCAGTCACTCTTCTGCTTCCACCCCGTGAGCTCCAAGAAGTTAGAAGTGAAAAAAAGATGAGCCTAGGGGAGGGGCCTTCCTGCCAGTGTTGTCGCTGACCCCCGAGGCCAGCCCCTGGCCGCCTGGGCATGCCCTGGGTTAGTCACCGGGCCATCCTGCAGACCTGGGTGTGTGCGCTTTGAGACCTCAGAGCAGAGATATCCAGAGAGGCTTCCCCTGGGCGACTTGAATTCTGGAGTGTGACCTCAGGCTGGCAGGCTTGGCTGGACAGTGAGGGTAAATGGGGGGAGTGCGGTGCACTGAAGGTGGTTTATAAGAAAGTCTTGCCATTTGCTGGGAAGCAATTCTAATACTCTTCATTGAGCACCCACAATTCATTATCATTCACTAATGAATTAATCAATTCAGCACATAATCCCAAAGCATAACTCCAGCCGGGCCACAGAGCAGCAGAGAATCTGCTCTGAATGTGGGAGCCTGAACAAAGTCCAGGTTTGGAACCAGACTGCAGGGTGGTCTGCAGGTGAGATTGTGCCAGTGGTGTGGTTTGAGGGATGGGTGCTCAGGGTAGCCTGATGGCTCTTTCCCCATGGGCAGATGCCCTGCCCTGTGGGAGCCAGGGTTCTGAGCCGAGGCCAGCTGGTCCGGGCGCAAGACACAAAGCCAGTGCCCCACTGGTGGGAGCTGCTTTCCCCTGGGTCTGCGATTTGAGGGAAGAGCCCTGCTCAGCGGTCATGCTGCTCCTGTCAGGTTTGCAGGCCCCTTTCCGCTCCTAGGGGGCCAGGGTCTTCCTCTTTTGCCCTCCTGTCTTTGAACTCTGAGACTGGTGGATGTTGGCATCACCCAGGGGAACACTCAGGGCCAAGATGAACCGCCTCTATATTTTCCCTATCTCTTCACAAGTTCTCTCCTGGCAGGGGTGACTGAGGGGTAGCTAAGAGTCCAGCTGGGCCTAGAGCCCTCATCTTTGTTAGAGAACACTGACTAGCCATTGCTATTCAGGTAAACAAAAATGAAAGTGCGTGCAGTGCTTGGTCCAGGTGGACCACTGTGCTTTCTGGGCCTGTTCATCCCTCTGTGGGATTAGACTCAGGGCCCTGGGTTTACTTCCTACCGGCCTGTAGGGTGCTGATTGAATCATGTTTCATGGCCCGCTTTTGTAGCCCAAGACTTAGACCAATGTGTGCCAGGAGTGCGGGGGGGAGGGAACAGGTGTGTACTCAAAGGAGTTCACAGCCTGGGGAAGGAAGGCTCACAGGACCTCAGTGGAGGGAGGCAGCATGCCAAAGCATGGGGGCAGTGAGTGTTTCCAGTGATCAGGTGCTAGTACAGGATCTCTTTAGTTCCATTTTTTAATTTTTAATTTTTTATTATTTTTAAATGTAATAAATTTTTATTGTTCGGATTATTACAATTATTTCTCCTTTTCCCCCTTACCTCCCCTCTACCCAGTTCCCAGCCCACCCTTGTCCTTACCTCCCCCTCACTGTACTCGTTCATAGGTGTACGATTTTAGTCCAATCTCTTCGCATATCCCCCACATCTTTTTCCCCCTGAGATTTATCAATCCACTCCTATTCTGTGCCCCTCATTCTATTTATTCACCAGTTTATTCTGTTCCTCAGATTTTTAATTCACTTTATTTTTAGATTCACTTGTTGATTGATATGTATTTGTTGTTATCTTTATTTTTTTCTTCTTCCTCTTCTTAAAGAATACCTTTCAGCATTTCATATAATATGGTTTGGTGGTGATGAACTCCTTTAGCTTTTTTCTTATCTGTGAAGCTCTTTATCTGACTTTCAATTCTGAATGATAGCTTTGCTGAGTAGAGTAATATTGGTTGTAGGTTCTTGCTATTCATCACTGAATATTTTGTGCTACTCCCATCTGGCCTGCATAGTTTCTGTTGAGAAATCAGCTGACAATCGAATGGGTGATCCCTTGTAGGTAATTAACTGCTTTTCTCTTGCTGCTTTTAATATTCTCTCTCTGTCTTTTACCCTTGGCATTTTAATTATGATGTGTCTTGGTGTGGTCCTTTTTGGATTCCTTTTGTTTGGGGTTCTGTGCATTTCTTGGACTTTTAAGTCTATTTCTTTTTTTTTCTCCTTTTTTTCTTTTTACATTGAAATGATGGAACTTTTAATTTTTTTAATAAATAAATTCGAGATGGCGATGTAACCACAAAACAACGTACATTGAGTCTGATGTCACCTGAGGACTGTCTGTATATAAAGTTCAATTGTGTGGATGTAGCATATTTGTTCAGTAGTCAGTCATTTGGACATTTGGGTTGTTTCTATTGTACATTTCAGCTATCAGAAATAATAATTGCAGTGGTCCATATATGTCTTATCATATAGATAGATGCCCAACAGTAGGATTAAGTCAAATCTTTAAAAAAATATATATTTTATTAATATCAGTAAGGAAGGGAGAGGGAGAGAGAGAAACATTGATGAGAATCATTGATTGGCTGCCTCCTGCACACCCCCTACTGGGGATCGATTGTAAGTCTATTTCTTTCACCAGGTGGGAGAAGTTTTCGGTCATTATTTCTTCAAATAGGTTTTCAGTATCTTCCTCTCCCTCTTCTTCTGACACATCCATAATTCGGATGTTGGTATGCTTGAAGTTGTCCTAGAGGCTTCTTACACTATCTTCAAATTTTTGGATTTTTTTTCTTTTTTCTTTTCTAGTGAAGTGGTTTTTGCTTCTTTGTATTCCAAATCTTTGACTTGATTCTTGCATTCCTCTAGTCTGTATAATATCTTTTATTTCAGTCAGTGTATGTTTAACTTCTAGTTAGTCCTTTTTCATATCCTCAAGGGTCTCATTAAATTTATCAGCCTTTTCTAGGAAATTCTTGAAAAACCTTATAACTGTGGTTTTGAACTCTATATCCAGTCATTTGTTTTCCTCCAATTCTTTCGTTTGTGATCTGTTTCTTTGTCTCCGCATTTTCACTGCTTCCCTGAGTTGGTAGGGTAGCTTTGTTTGTTAGGTGTCCTATATGGACCAGTGCGTTGGCCGCCCAGTAACCTGATGTGGACACTCTTGGTGCACCCCTTTGTGGACTGTGTGTACAGCCTTGTTGTATTTAAGTCTTGATTGCTATTGGTGTCACTGGGAGGAATTGACCTCTAGGCCAATTGTCTGTGAGGACCCTCTGTATCTATAATGGAAGAACTGCTGCGCTGGAGACATGCTTATGGGGCAGGACTTGTTTCAGTGGGACTTTGGTGCTGAGTTTGCCTCTTGAATGTGTCACTTATGGATGTGAGGAGTGGAAATCTGGTGTCATCTCACACTGACCACTAGCTTTTGTATCACCAATGTGGTGCAGGTCAGCTACTGTCTGAGGCCACCCAGCAGGAGCCACAGTGAGAACTACAGTTTTCTCCTCTTTGCTTCGGGTTTGGAGGTTTTGGAGCTGTCCCCCTAGAGATGCAGTTTGTCGGGGTTAAGCTTTGATAGAGCAGCCAATTAAATACAAAAGCCACTCCCTGGAGCTTGGTTGGGTTTGTAGATTGTGCGGGGTGGGGTCTCAGCGAGTCACTAGGCTAGGGTGTGGCAAACAGTGATGGCTGCCAGTCAGCCGGCTCTGAGTCTCTGCATTTCCAAGTCAAACATGTCTTGTTCCCCAGTGCAGTAGACAATGATTGCTGGGCGCACCTCTGCAAGAAAGTCACCCTCACTTTCCGACCCGAGCTGACCAGAGCTGCAGTTTGTTAGGTTAAGCTGTGATAGGGTAGGCTATTTATATGTAAAAAATGGTCCTATAACCCTGCAGCCCCAGAGAGAGTATTCAGGGGCCTGGACACAGAGTGGCAGACTGTTCAGCTTCTCCCCGTAGGAGTTTGGGTTCCCAGTGTCTCCCCAGAAACTGGAGTTCAGAGTAATCGGGACTTGTCTCCCTTTGGGTTGAAAGCATTGCTCCCAGTCGCCCACCACCAGCCTAATTCACGTACCTCCATACCTCAGCTTTTCAGCGCTTGTGCGCGTCTCAATGCTCTTTTCTCTTTCCTTCTAGTTGTATAACTTCCACTCAGCCAGCTTTCTGGGTTCTGGGATAGTTAAACGTTTTGTCTTTTGGTTGTAGTTTTGAAATTGTTGTGTGAGGCAGCAGTTTAGGGGTTTACCTTTGCCCTCACCTTGGCTTTTCTCCCCTTTAGTTTCATTTTATGGTTCTATGGGCAAGGCCCTGAACTGCCTCTCAGAGAAATATCGATAGGATTTTAAAAAGCTGAAGTGATGCCTATTTGCCAAGGACCTCGCCATCCATTTCCAGAGGAGACACCCCTGAAGGTCAGGTGTCCTTGCTCCTGGTAGCAGGAAGCCTGCTAGGTTCTGTCTAGTGTGTGAAGTTAGGGATGGAGGCTGCTCCAGCAAGAGGCTGAGGAAAGTGGAGGAAGAGTCCCCCCAGGCCAGGGGCCAGTGTAGCAGGGTTCCCTCTGTGGATGAACAAGGGGTTCTATGGAAAGTAACCTCACAGGGTGATCTGATCCTAAATTGCTAACTGGGTGCTCATGGTGGATAGGCATGCCCCAGGCCTATAACTTCTTTACCTTAAGCCAGCTCTGTCCGTTGTTCTTGTGCATCTAGTTAGGGCACCTCTGAGATGCCAGAACACTACTCTTTGGGAAGCACATAATCTTGTTAATTATCCTATAATCCACTCCCTTCCAGTCATTTTCTTAGCTCCTTCCTTTAAAAAAAGAAAAGAAAATATATATATATATATTGATTTCAGAGAGGAAGGGAGAGTGAGAGAGAGATAGAAACATCAAAAATGAGAATCATTGATCGGCTGCTCCTGCACGCCCCCTACTGGGGATCGAGCCTGCAACCCAGGCATGTGCCCTTGGCCAGAATCAAACCTGGGATCCTTTAGTCCACAGGCTGACGCTCTATCCACTGAGCCAAATCAGCCAGGGCGCTAGCTCCTTCCTTAATGCTAAACGCATAAAAGAAACCAAGAAACTGTCTCCAGAGCATTTGTGATCTTTCTGCCAGGCATGTCAGCAATTTGGCTCAAATAAACTCAGAAATTCTCTGCAGGGTTGGGTGGTCTATGTCAACACCCCTCCTCTGGACATTTCTCCTGCCTACCAGCCCCTTGTTCCCCCAAGGCCAGGCCCCCAGCCAGATGTCATGTTGAGGAGAGAAGACGGCCAGGTCAGGGAGGATGAGCGGCAGAGGGCAGGGCAGTGCGGAAGGCAAGGGCTTGCTGATGGACATCCTCAGCATGGGCCTATCCCTCATGCAGTTTCTAAACCAAGTAGTCAGTGAGGCCACTAGGAAAGTACAGTGACTCTACCCTTTGGTCGCAGGTAGGCGGGGCTCCACTGCTGTGCTGGGACTAGACCCGTCCATGGCCTCCTGGCCCCTTTTTCTCCTCTGGAAAAAAGGCCCTATAGCCCTGCAGCCCACAGAGGGAGTATTCAGGGGCCTGGACACAGAGCTGCAGAACTGGACAGGAACTCCCAGCCATTCTGCCAGGGCTCCCCCTTACAGAAGCAGCCCTGTTGTGGAGGGTTCTCTGAGCTTACAGCCCCTGCCTCAAAGCCATCAAGGCACCGGCCTAAGGCCTGTGCTTGCCTTGGCAGGACCAAAGCTTGGGGTGGGCCTGCTTCTGTGGAGGAGCCTGAAGAAGATCTTGGGCAGGTTTGTGGACAGAAAAGTGATGACAGCTATACTGATTCAAAGTGAAGTCTGGTTGGCCAGGAGCCTCCTCCAGTTTCTTCCCAAACACTCAGCCTCCCACCTCCCTAGGGGAGAAGGCTGGACCTCCGCTCAGGAAGGCTGTACGTGCATCTGGCTGAGGGAGCCCCGAGGGTCTTCCCAGGCCTCGCACCCTGACCCATCTCACTGTACACTCAGACAAGTATAAAAATAGCACTCGTTTATTACCATAAAAACTTACTAAAGGAGGTCCACAGTCCCTTACCAGAAATCTCGCTCGAGATGTTTCAGATTTTAGAATTCTTCGGCTTTAGAAAGGTGCTGAGGTGTGGGTGCGGAATATTGCATCACACTCCCACAGGGACTGGGGTGACACCCTACCATTAAATAAGCAGTATTTATGTGGAAAAGACACACTAGCAGAAGTAAAATAAAGAGTACAAATAGATAAAACGATGCTGAAACCAGTTTGGCTCAGTGGATAGAGCGTTGGCCTGCGGACTGAAGGGTCCCGGGTTCGATTCTGGTCAAGGGCATGTACCTTAGTTGTGGGCACATCCCCAGTGGGGGTGTGCAGGAGGCAGCTGATTGATGTTTCTCTCCCATCGATGTTTCTAACTCTCCATCCTTCTCTCTTCTTCTCTGTAAAAAATCAATAAAATACATTAATAAATAAATAACTAAACAAAACTCATTTCAGGTCAGGTTCTGATGCCAAAGTTCGGGAGAAGCTTCTGGCTTGTGGCGGTGTTTTGGAATCAGAATTACAGACCAGGGGTTGCAGAGCTTTACAGAATGGCATGTCATGGCTCTGGTATGAGCCAGCGGTAGGACCCTGTCTCCTCACATGGGCACAGGCATGCCACGGGGATTGAACAGCTTAGTCCATGTAAAAGTGCTTATGAGACAGGTCAGTAAGAAACTAGGAAAATGGAATGAGGAAACGGAGACAGTTGAACAAATGGTCAGAAAGGCTGAGCAGTGAACAGCCAGCTAATAGAGCACAAGGCCCTCCCCTCCCCAACGGAAGGTGCCAAAAAGCAGGGGTTTAAGTCACCACAGTCAGGGAGGTAAACAACAAAAAACCATTAGAGCCAGACCACTCCAAGGTAAAGGTAAACGAACGACCCCAAACTCTATACCATCACAGAATGGAAACTGACACTGTAAGTTGAGGGGGGTGAAGGCCATGACACTTCCTGAACGGTCCACATTGGGAACAAGACCCCTCCCAACCAGAAGGCCGAGTCAGCATTTGGTGCCCCTCCCCCTGGAAACACAGAATCCTAACAACTAACTGACCACACACACCATCACCAACATATCAGTCACCCTAATGCACACACATACCGCTCTCACCCACACACCCTTACCCGCATCCCCACAGTCACAGGGTGCCTGAGGCTAGGTTGAGAGTTACCTTAAAATAAGTCATTCTGCAAACAGTCAAGTGTAAAAGATCTGAGGAATTATTACATTAAAAAATATATGTGTATCTTTATTGATTTTTTAGAGAGAGAAGAAGGAAGATAGAAGCATTGACCAGCTGCCTCCTGCACGCCCCCTACTGGGGATTGAGCTGGCACCTCGGGCGTGTGCCCTGACCAGGAATTGAATTGGTGACGTCTTGGTTCATAGGTCAACCACTGAGCTATGCCAGCGGGGCAGGAATTACTATAATACATTTTTTAAAGGACTTAAGACGATGACAAAACCGTGTTAGTGGCACAGACCACTTGTAACAAGGGTGAGGAGGGCTCAGTTTCGGGGCGGGATGGGCCCACTGTGGTCAGATCACATCTACCAGTCAGTGCAAGGCGCTTCCAGGCCCCGACGGCCCCACAGAACACCTTCTTGGTCTGCGAACTTCTGTCAGTGGAGGAGCTGAGCATCGCTGTTCCCACTGGGCTCTGGGAATTATGGGGGTCCCTCTCCACCTGCAGGGAGGAAGGAGGAAGGTGACCCCACCGCTCCTGGTTCCCACCAAACCAGGTGGTGACTCCCAGGAGTGCCCTTACCCCGCCCTCTGCCTGGCTTCAGGGTTTGGAGGGAGCGGGCTGAGGCTAGGCTGCAGGAGAAATCCCCGATCCTAGTGACTGGCCCCCATCTTTGTTCTAAGGCCCCACAGTCATGCTGGGAGCACCTGGGGCTTCCTCTCCAGAGCCCGCCCATCCCACAGTCACCTGGGGCTTGTTTGTAGGATTTCGTGTTCCTGGCTGTGGGGAGAAGAAGACAAGGCAAGAAGTGAGATGAGATGAGTGGGGGCCTGGGTCTCCCTTCCTTCTCCCACTCCCCTCTAGTCTAGGCCCTTCCAAGCTCAGGCCCAGCAGTCTCCCCTGGCTAGGGGGTCCTTGGGGCCCTAGGACGGTGTGCGGCTGTGGGCAGGGGGCAGGCTCAGTAGTGGCTGCTGCTCCCCAGAAGGGAAAGTTGCAGCTGAAGGGGTGGGAGCAGAGTATCCCCCTGTGAGGCTGGACCAGCCCGAGGGCCTCCCACCTTGATTCTACCCCACCTACCTCGAAGGCACGTTGTAGTGGTCAAGATCACAACTCCAACCACCAGCAGGATAGTGCAGGTAATCACGGCAACGAGTGCTTGACGAGGGGGCGGTTCTGAGGCAGGTGGAGAAAAGCAGGCACCCCCAGGACCATGGGACTATCTCTGACGGCTCTGGGACCCTCCCTGCCCTCCTGGCCCCCACCAGCCAAAGCCCAGCTCCTCACCCCAAGCCACAGTGAGCGTGTGGTTTAGGCCGGAGTGCTGCACACGGCAGCTGTAGTCAGCCTCCTCCCCGGCCTGCACCCACACGGCAGCCCATGTCTGGTAGGTGCCGTCCCCGCTGGGGCGCGTCTCCACGTGCTCAGTCTCCAAGGCCAGCTCCTCCTCCCCCAGCCACCAGCTCAGTGAGATATCCTGTGGGTAGAAGCCCCGGGCCCAGCACCTCAGCGTGGTTCCCCTGCCTTGGATCATGTGCCTTGTCACCTGCACCGTGGGTGGCTCTGCAGAGAGGTAGAGGGAGGAAGGCTGGTGAGGGGCAACTCCGCTGTCTTGGTCCCAGGCCCTTCCAGCATCTTCCATGGTGGAGGGCAGGGAGATGAGGATAGGACTCTCTCCAGGGGGCACTCAACCACTGTTGGAGGCAGGGACAACCTTTTGTCAAGCATTCCAAAGGGGCCCTGTCCTGGGGGTCTCATGGCAGGGGTGTGACTTCCTGCCCTCACCTCCAAAGGAGCCCTGGGTGGGGCCATTGGGTCCATACATATTTTAAAACAGATTTTTATTCAGAGGAAGCGAGAGGGCCCCCTGCTAGGGATTGAGCCTGCAACCCAAGCATGTTCATAGTTTGGTGCTCAACCACTGAGCCACACCGGCAGGGCTATTGGGTCCTATATTGACACCACCCCCTTCATGCCACTGAGACCCTAGGGTTTTCTTAGAATTTATATACTTCCCCCATGACCTCCTGCACAAAGCAGGGCCGAATAAGAGGTGGTTAAATGATGTCCCTTTCCTCACCTTAGAACAAGCATAATTGTGAGTATGGGTTCTGGAACAGGACAGCCTGGTTGTCCACAACCCTCTGCCTCACAGGCCCTAATGGGGACCCATCGTTTCTTCCTCTCAGAGTTGTTCTGAATGACACAATCCAGGTGCCACAGTTCATTTTATCTACACTAATAAAAGAATAAGATGCAAATTGATCGTATCTTTGAAAATGCTCACTAGCCAATCAGGAGGGAGTATGCAAATAACCCAACAAAGGTGGCGAGTTAACTTGCATACACAGGCGCTAAGTGGGTGGGACGCTTGTGTTGTCACTATAGCTAGCAGCCAGGGGAAGGAAGGCCCATTCCTGCACGAATCTTTGTGCATCGGGCCTCTAGTGTGTCAATATGAATGGGCCATCGGGATGCCCGTACATTTGGTAAGAGTTTTCTGGGGTGTTGAGGGCCCTTCTGGGTGAGAATCACACTGGATTCTGTGGACTCAGTAAAGCAGATGGCCCTCCCAAGTGTGGGTGGGCCTCATCCAGTGCCTTGAAGATCTGCATGGGGCAGAGGCTGCGAGAGAGAGCTGCCTGGCTGCTTGAGCAGGGACACTAGTCTTTCCTGTCATCACTCTGTGGGTTGAGCTTGTCAACATTTGGCCAGAACGGTGCCATTGGTCCCCCCACCCCCTTCTCCAGCTTGTCGACTACAGATCTTAAAACTTGTAAGCCTCCGTGACCGCATGAGTCAATTCCTTATGTTACACCTCTTTCTCTTTATAACTACAAACCTGTTGGTTCTGTTTTTGTCTCTGTGGATAACCTGCCTAACCTTCCAGGAGAAGGAGGTAGAACCTGGTGCTGAATGGAGTCCAACACCACTCATTTAATGGCAATATGGTGCCGCAGGGACGCATGGCGAGTACCGCCACCCTATTACACCGATGAGGAAACAGACACAAGCCAGGCAGCAAGTCCTGGAGCAGCTGTGGTTCTGGAGGCTGGGCTCAAGTACTGGATCTCTAACCCACATGCTCTCTCATACACAAGCCTTCTCCTGACGTTACTGGTCCTAACCCCCCTTTGAGGACTGTCTTCTCCTTTACCTCAGCCTATCTGCATCCTGCCACTCGATGAGCTGATGCCCATGGAGTGCTGAGCCCCCCCCCCCCCCAGCAGCCTGTGGCCTCTACCCTCACACCCCCTTTCTTAATACCCACCTCAGCCCTCTATCTCCCGCCCTGCCGGCCAGGGTCAGGAGTCTGGGGAGCATGCTTAGCACAGGCTGTGTGGAAGGAGGGGGCAAAGCGTCCCCAGCAGTCCTGCCGGTCCTGGGGGTAGTGATGGATGCTAACCCCGGAGCCTGGGGGTGTTTCCCAAGGAGCAGAACCACAGGAAACCCCAAAAAGACTTTATGAGCCCCCCAAGTTTAATCCATTCTCTACAGATGAAGAAATGAGACTGAGTTAGGGGATTCCAGAACTCCTCCCTGCCCAGCTCCCCTGGAGTGAGGGCCTGAGCTGGGTCCTCCCTGCTCTGGTGGTTGGCCATCTTCCTGGGCCCCCGCAGAAGTCCCCCCCACCGCTCTGGAGAATGGGAGCGTGGCCCCTCTGCCCGCCTCAGGCTGGGCCTTACCTCTGCGGGTGAGGCTCCGGCCGCCCAGCTCCAGGTACCTGCGCAGGGAGGCGAGGCAGAGGCCTTCCAGGTAGGCCTTGTCATACTCGGCATAGCAGCGCTCCGACTCCCACCAGCTCTTGGTCCGCACGGCCATGGGCTCGGCTGACACCCAGCTCAGAGTCTCCAGGTCCAGTGACAGGTGGTCCTTCCCATCAAAGCCAAACTGCCAGAAGCTGCTGGAGCGGCCATCCTCCTGGATTTCACAGCCGAACATGCGCTGAGTGCTGTGCGTGCCTGAGTGTGTGGGCAGGAGCCATGGTTAGCTGGGCGGTGGGTGAGGGCTGAGTCATTGTTCTGTCATCCACTCCCCTCCATGCCATTTCCCTTAATTCCTTAACGCTAAGGGGCCTCCTGGCCGGGACCCGAGCAATTTCGATGAGCAGCTCGGACTGAGAAGACTGTTGGGCCTTTCATGTGGGAAGAACACTCAAGTTCATAACTAGTCACACTGATATTTTCTGTGCTAGCGAGAAGGAAAAGATTTGGTTCTTATGGGTATAAGATGCCCTCGCCATTAGGAGGGGGGAAATCCGGGCACCTGGCTAGTCACTCTCCTACTGAGGGCGGGCCTTGCTTCTGGCCTGAGCTCACCTTCCCTGTCTCGGTGCTTTACACCTGGCCTCTGGGGCCTGTGTGTCCTGTGGGAGCCCGGGCCCGGGTGGGAGGGTGCAGTATGAAGGAGTTGTGCCTCACGTGGCACATCCGCAGCCCTGGCCCTGGGTGTGAGCTCGCTGCTGTGGAGTGAGGAGGCCGAGGGTGGAGGAAATGCTCCTGTCCTTTGCTGACATTGGGCGGAATCAGAGGTCCTCCTCTGGTTCTGTCTCCTACCCTGTGCTGTCTGCCCAGTGCACGTTCATCTGGCCTTCCTCCCCTCCCTATGGTGTCTGGGGGTGGGCACGATTTGAAACATTTGGGATGGGTGAGGCAGGGAAAGGCTGCTCTTTCTGCTGAGGCCTGGAACCCTAGTTAGCTGAAGGGGAGACATTGGGGGCTCCCAGCTCCTGTGGGTGCTTCCTAGTCTGGCCTGTGGACCAGCTGCTGCCATCACAGCTGATTCTGCAGGCCCTGGCGCCCCTGCTTGGCTTTGGGGGCAGCAGCCCCGGAGCCTCCCTAGCGGAAGGAGGGCGGCTGGGGCAGGGGGCCATCACGTACCGCCACTCTGGTTGTAGTAGCCCATCACCGTCCACATCTCCACCTGCTGCACCTCTGCCCAGGCCTTCTGCTTCCGGGTCTCCATCTCCCAGTAGTGGGCGTCCATGGGGGCGATCCACGGGGCCTGGGGCTCGGCCTTGCCCACACGACTGTCATACCGTATGAAGGGCTGGTCGTTCACGTAGCCCACAGCCAGGAACTGGGGAAGGCCGGGGCCCGGCTCCGACAGGGCCAGGTAGTGGTAGCGGAGGGAGTGCGTCCCTGTGGAAACACACACTGCCTCAGACTCACACTGTGTCAGGCTGCCCCAGGGGTAGGTCAGAACCTACCCAGAGAATTCCCTATCTTGAGCAAGAGCAAGAACTGGCCATTTCAGTTACAAAACAGGGCATCTGAGTGGTCTAAACAATCTAATATTGAGGCCAAGGTTCATGCGCTGAGCTGGTGACTTTACTCCACTACTGTTTTTGGTTCCTCTCTCAGGGCCTACTCACTCATACCTTACACTCATCTCAAGCAAGCGTGAGTATCCGGTTTCTAATCTCACAGTTAAAAAGGCTGTGGTTGCCCTCGCCGGCGTGGCTCAGTGGATAGAGTATCAGTCTGCAGATGGAAGGGTCCCAGGTTGGATTCTGGCCAAGGACATATGCCTGGGTTGTGGCTCAATCCCCAATGGGGTGTGTATATGTGTGTGCAGGAGGCAACCGATCAATGATTCTCTCTCATCATTGAGGTTTCTATCTCTCTCTTTTCCTCTCTGAAACCAATAAAGAAATATAATTTTTTAAAAAGGTTGTGGGTTTTAAAAAGTTGTTTGTTTAGAAGCTTAACTTATGTAGAACTGTTCATTTCCCAGAGAAACCGATAAAGGTTGACCATCATTCTTGGCTTGAACCTGGGCTGGGGAGCTGGTGGCACCTGGACTTCACCCCCACCAGTTCTCTCCCCTCCACAGCAGACATTGCTAGTTGATCTCTTTAAATCTAAATGCTGCCTCAGCTTGCTCCCTTCCATGTCTCCAAAAGCACCAACTGATTGACTTGGTGCTGGAGAGGAAATCAGTTTGGCAGCCAGCCCAATGTTACTGTTGTCACTAGCTAGCTGGAGCGCATGTCTGGATAAACAAGAAAAATGAATAAAAATGCACGACAGCCTGGGCAGCAGTAAGCGCTAAAGGGAAAAGAGTACGAATATGTGAAATGTTAAGTGAGGGGTTTAAAGTCTGAGATGGGACGGTCAGGAATGGCCTTCCCAAAAGGGGAACTTTTGAGTGAAAACTTGATGGAGCCAGTCATGCAAAAATCTGGGAGAGAGCATTCCAGAAGAGGAAAAGCCAGTGCAACGGACCCGAGGCAAGAGGGTGTTTGGAGACTGCTGTAATAACAGGAAATAAAATGGCCGTGCGACTCAGGGCCGCAGTAGGGATGAAGAAGGGGCTGAGTGCTGACTGCTCAGGCTTGGCCAGGCGTCTAGAATGGCCTGATCCTAGCCATCTGCACCATGCGAGTGATGGTTCCTGGCCTTGGCTTCTGCTCCACCCTGGATTGCTTCACCAACAGCTTACTCCTGGCATTGGGTGCCCATCCCAGGAAGAAGGGCCACAAGCTCTTTATCATAGCTGACTCCCAGGTACTGCCCTGCACGTACCCAGTGAGGAGCCTGGCATCCCTCCTGCCCTGAAAACCCCACCACTGTCTATCTGCTCTACCTGCCAGATGGCCCTGGGGGCCCAGCCTGCTCTCCGTGGGGCTTCACACACTGACTGCACCCCCCTTTTTCCCAGGAAGACGGTCTGTACTGTGACTAGACACCCACTTGCTCACCAGACCCCGGAGGGTTCATCATGCCTTGGGCTCCAGCCCAGAGTGTGGCAAAATCAGCTGAGGGAGCAATCATCAGGCCACTCCCTGGCTCTGGAGGTACCAGGCCACCCCTGCCAGGCTGGGGTCAGTGCCAGGCACTATGGGGCCACGGCAGGAGGAAGTGAGGGCCACATGACAGCTGCTTAGGGGAACCTGCTTCCTATGTGACACGGCCTAAGGGAGTGGCCACATGCCCATTGCTGCCTCAGGGTCAGTCTCCTCCTCTGACTGTGGTGGGAGCAAGAGCCCTGGCCCCTCCCCTGCACCCTCCCTCCCAGGAGGCTTTTTGCCTCTGCTCCACAATCCGCAGGTGCTGGCCCTCCGGCTGTGTGGCATGAGGGAGTATGTCACAGCTCTGGCCTGCTCTCCTCTGTCAGTGAGAACCTCCCGCGTGGGGCGCTCACTGAGGCAGTGGAGGCACAGCAGTGGCAGGAAAAGGCCCCAGACTCATTTCCCAGTCTCCCTGCTGTTTGCAGGGCAGAGGTGGCCTCGGAAGGAAAGAGTTGGGTGGGGAAGCTTCCTGAAAAGCCAGCCCTCTGGAGACCAGGTCCCTGCCCCCAGGCACCCTGGGAGGCTCTGGCCTCGGTGTCCCCCACCCTGGCAGAGTCCCCCTCCCTGAGCCAGTCCCCCCCAGACTCCCAGACTCCGGATGTGCCTTCCTGCAGGTTGGGGGCTCCTGGCTCCGCCACCCGGCCCCTCAGGCGGCAGGGCCTTACCTCCAGGCCATGGCTTCTTTTCTAACTTCAGGCCGGCCAGTTCTGCCATCACAGCCTTCGCTAAGGAAGCCGGGCCATCAGCCACCAACGGGAGTCCCCAGGGGCTCTCTGCAAGGGGAATGGAAAAGGGAAGCGTGGCTCTCCAGGCATTACATCCTCGTGTCTGCCGGGAGAGAAGGCATGGAATGGCAACGAGAGAGGCCCGTTGGCAAGGGAGAGGGGCGTGGGGCCCGGCCTCGGAATCACCAGAAACTTCTCCAGCACCTAGGTGCAAAGCCAAGGTGAGTCGCAGGTCTCAGTGCCAGGAGTGCTTTCTGAGCTCTGTAAGTATTGATTCATGGTGTTTTCACAGGCATTTCCTGTAAGGTAGTCCCTGACTGCTCCCACTCAGAGAGGAGGGAGGCCATGGCTGGGCTGCCCCCTCGTCTGCCCAGCACCACCCAGCAGCTCTGATAATCCTGTCACTGACGTGGATTTAGTTGTTCTGGGGCAGGGGAACTGGACACTGCAGGTGTGCAAGCTCCCAGGTGACCCTCATATGCTGCCAGGTGGCCAGCCCACACCTCCTGGCTGGCATGATTACTGCTCAGCTCTGCCAGCCCTGATCTCCTTGCATTGGACAAGCATCTACTGAGCACCTATCATAAGCCAGGCACTGAGCCAGGTGTGTGTGTGTGTGTGTGTGTGTGTGTGTGTGTGGAGGGGGACAGAGATGACCTGAGGCAGACATGGCCCCAAGGGAGATCAGGTTTAGCAGGAAGGGGGACAACTGAACACTTAAACCAGATTCAGTAAGGCTGGTGGGAGCTGAGGTGTGTTGGGTGCAGGAGGTACCAGGTACTGGTAACAATCTGGGGACAGGAGGGTGTTGGGTCAGGAGTCTTATAGACTGAGCCCAAAGGAAACCTCACCAGCTGTGAGTTTCCAGGCAGTGGGGTAGGTGAGCAGAGAAGAACATTCTAGGCTAGGGAGTCTTCAGGTGTTACCCCTGGCCCAGCTGAATCAGTGTCACCTGGGAACTTGTTAGAAATGCACATTCTTAGGCCCCTGCCGACTGAATTAGAAACGGGGTGGGGACCAGCTTTCTGTAGTTCACAATCCTTCTGGGTGACTTTCAGGTGATTCTCAAGTTTGCTCTTGACAAAAAACTAGCAAAGTATGAATTCCTGGAGGAAGACTGGTATATTCCAGGAAAATCAAGGGCCAGGGCAGACTGTAAATTTAAGAGATGAGTCTGGGAGCCTGTCTGCTGTGGCTCAGGGTTAAGCATCGATCTATGAACCAGGAGGTCATGGTTCCATTCCCAGTCAGGGCACATACTCAGGTTGCAGGCTCCTTCCTCAGTAGGGGGCGTGCAGAAGGCAACTCATTATTGATGTTTCTATCTCTCTCCTCCCTTTCTCTCTCTGAAATCAATAAAAACATACTTACAAAAAAAGGGAGATGAGTCTGGGGAGGAGAGAAAGGACTAGATTGCCTCTCGATGCCTTGTTTCCCCTTTAGAACGTGGGGGATAATAGGATGGTTGTGAGGGTACGCTAAGTTAATATTGCCAAGTGCCTGGGAGGGGGTCAGCCCACGCTGGTGCAGATCCTAAGGCTGGAATCCTGGGGGAGGGTCTGGGCCAGAGAAAGGATGTGGCAGAGGTTGGCATGGAGGGGGCCCTGAATCCCTGGGCTTAGCTGAGCCTTCTATGGAGGGAAGGGCTGGGGAGGCAGAGTAAGAAGGGCCTGCAGAACCATCTGAGGAGTGGGGGAGGGGTAACGGGAGACCAGAGAAGTCTCAGGAGGCCTGTGACGTCCCAAGGGAGCATGTCTCAGAGCCCACACCAGCCTCTGAGGTCCCTGCCCGGCCTGCCCTTCACACTGCTCCCAGCTCAGCGCCAGCAGGGAGCTCGGGCAGACACCCCGGAGCAATCCCTTCATCCTGCTCTCTCCTCCCAGTCCTAACTCCAGTTTTGCCTTAGCACCCAGCTTTGTAACTATCAATCTTAATAATTCTGTCCCTACTTGTCTTGTCCCAAAGGCTACTGATTAATTCTGCTGTCTAGCCTTTCTCACCTGGTCAGGATGCCCTGCCTGAGGCAGCATGAACTCCAGAGCCAGCCTTCTGGGTCCAAGTCCTAACCAGCCAATTAACTGCCAACCTCGCGGAGCCTAGTTTTCCTGTTTGCCCTGGAGATAGCTATACCTGAATCTGTAGTGTGCTGGAGGCATGCACACTCACCTCTGTCCCGTTCACTCCTCACCTCCTCGAAGGAGGGCCGGCAGCCAGGAACACTGAGGGGCCTGCTGGACCCTCTGGCTTTGTCCCCTCCATGTGCTGTCTCTCTCCTACAGTATGGCACACACCTGGGTTTATCCTGCCACTCTCGCCTCTTTGCTTGGGGTCCCATCCCCCTGGGCCAGCCCTGACTCTTCCTCCGACAAGGCTACAGGGCCTGTATGCATACACCCGTGACCATCTCTGTCCTGCACAACTGGGACCACTCGTGTGCCCCTTTACGTCAGGGAGGGGCTGTAAGAGGCTCTTACCCTGGGGTCCACAGACCCCTAGGTGAACCTGAAAACTTGAGTTTGAGAGCCTCAATTTGGAGGGAAGATATAACCTGCTTATTTTCACAGACTTCTAGCTGACATTTAGCCTTTCCTCTCATGATGATGGAAGGCAACGGTGTGCAGCAGGATTCCTTTGTAATCCTGTGTGTTTCCTTTTATGTATCGGGTCTAGTAATAATTAATGTCGTTTTTAAACATTCGTTTAAAATCTTGCTTGGCGTTGACTTGTATTGACATAACCTTCAAACACGTGGTATCTACAGAACGTGTGAAGTGCAATTAACAAGTTTTGCTTGAAAAAGTTTGTGTTTGGTTTGGTTTTTGTTGCAAAACTAGGGCTAAGAAGATGGCGGATGAAGAGCATATTCGGCACTGCATGCTTTACGAGTTCCAATTAGGAAGAAAAGCAAATGAGGCTGCAAAAAACATCTGTAGTGCTCTTGGTCAAGATGCAGTTAGCGCCAAAAAATGCTAGCGTTGGTTTGAGAAATTTCGCGAGGGAAATTTTTTGTTAGATGACAAGAGTGGTCGAGGCCGTGTGTCCAATTTTGATCAAGAAGCTCTTCAAGCTCTTTTGGTGCAAAATCCTCAAATTACCCAACAAGAGCTTGCAACAACTTTAAATTGTTCACAAAAAACAATTTCCAATCAATTGCGTGCACTTGGCAAATTCCAAAAGTTTGGAAAATGGGTTCCTCATGAGTTGACTTACAACAACCATAATCAAAGAGTCACAATTTGCAGTTTGCTCCTCTCTCGTCAAAACCGTTTGCCGTTTTTAGAGCAAATTGTTACCGGAGATGAAAAATGGGTGCTGAATGTTAATTTGAAAAGGCGGCCTCAATGGTTGGACAAAAATGAGTCTCCGCAGCCCACGCCAAAACCTGACTTGCATGCGAAAAAAGTGATGTTGTGTGTTTGGTGGAATTTTAAAGGCATTCTTCATTATGAACTTTTACCATCTAACCAAACCATTACAAGTGCAGTGTATAGTGCCCAATTGGAAAGGTTAGCCCAAGCTTTAAGAGAAAAAGAACCCGCGCTGATTAATCGAAAGGGCGTAATTCTTCACCACGATAACGCATGACCACATACTGCAAGAATCACTGCTGAAAAACTGCACCAGCTGGAATGGGAAGTTCTCCCTCAACCTGCATATTCTCCTGATATTGCCCCTTCCGATTACCATTTGTTTCGTTCTTTGCAAAACTTTCTTCTTGGAAAAAAATTTAATAATGAAGAATGCCTCAAAAATGCATTGACCGAATTTTTTGCATCAAAATCACAAGAATTTTACAACAGAGGGATTAAAATGCTTCCTGAGCATTGGGCACAAGTAGTAGAAAACAACGGCAACTATATTGTTGATTAAATTTTGTTGTATTGTTTAAATAAATTCGATTTTAAAAAAGTATTAGAAAACGACATTAATTATTACTAGACCTAGTATTAAGAACATTCTGTGCCCTAACCGTTTGGCTCAGTGGATAGAGCATCGGCCTGCAGACTGAAGGGTCCCAGAGTCCCAGGTTCCATTCTGGTCAAGGGCATGTACCTTGATTGTGGGCACATCCCCAATAGGGGTTGTGCAGAAGGCAGCTGATTGATGTTTCTCTCCCATTGATATTTCTAACTCTCTATCCCTCTCCCTTCCTCTCTGTAAAAAAAATCAATAAAACATATTTTTAAAAATCAATAATATATATATATATTTTAAAAGAGAACATTCTGAGGCGGTATCTAAGCCTTAGATTCTAAGGCTCAGAAAAGGTCTAACAACTCCAGGGCAGAGTGCTGTCACCTAGTGGCCTCTGTGGGCCTTATTTGAAGTTTGTAGACTAAACTGAGGATGTCCTGAAAAGTTGCACTGGCTTCTTGTAAGTGAAGCACTTATAACAGATGTTCGCACATAGGACCCCAGCTAGTGTGACTGCCGCGACGGGGACGCTTGCCGGCCTCGAATCAGCCCTGCGCAGCCCTCGCCAGCCGTGGGGAATTCGGGGTGGGCGCGGCCCGGCCAGCTCTGCGCACCAAAGTGAAACTGAGAAAGAATGGAAATTCCGAGCCAGGTTACTTGCTCCTTTCTCTTCACCCTCCACCTCCGCCAGGGCAGCCGGAGAGAGCCTCGCCAAGGGGCCGGGGAGACCCCTCCCCGCGACGGACCGGGCACGGCCGAGCTCGGCGGGGCCGCGTCGGCTCAGACCTGCGCAAGGAGCGTGCCCAGGGCTTTCCCGGAGGAGCGAGCGCGAGCGACAGCGGGTCCTCCGGAGGGACCGGGCCTCCAGGAAGCTGCGGCCTCCGCGGGTGCCAACGTCCCTGCCCCGCCGGTCCCCGCGGTCCCCACCCGCTGGCCGCTCACCCCGGTCCGGGGCCACAGTTGGAGGCGGCAAAACAGAAGGCCTGAACCAGGCTTTAAAGCACGTGTGTCAAACACAAGGCCCGCGGGCCAAATCCGTCGCGCCAGGCCTTGCAATGTGGCCCGCACCGCGCTGTCATCACTGCACTCCGCTGCGTTTCCATCACTATGACAGTTTATGACTGTTCAGTAAACCATTCGGCCCGAGATTTAGGCTGGATTTTAGATTTTGGCCCCTTCTCTGAGTGAGTTCGACACCCCCAAACCTGTCACCCCACGGGACACCGGCCACCGGCTTGCCCGTAAGTTCCGGACCCCCTTTCCCCACCGCAGACTCTGGGTTGGCTCTCCAACTCATCCCGCCCCAGCCCACGTCTCCTTGGCTTCCTCACGCCCACTGCGCTCGGTGGGGAGGGCCGGGAGTGCCCCTCACCTGCCGCGCCCTCCCGCGCCAGCTCCCGCAGCAGCAGCAGCAGCAGCAGCAGCGCCGGCGCGCACGCCGGGCTCCGCGGGCCCCGGGCCGCCAGCCTCGCGCGCAGCTCCAGGGCGCTGGCCCGGCCCGGACAGCTTTCGGCTGAGGGGCCGGTGGTCTTGCGTCAGCGCTCGGAGCCTTCCGACCGCCAACGCCTCGCTTCCAAGGCTGAGCTTCTTCAGAGGCGTAGGTGCTGCGTACCCCCGCCCGCCCGGCCCCGCCCTGCTCTGGTCCCGCCCCCGCCCCGCCCCGCCCCGCCCCGTCCTCGCTCAGGCCTGTCTCTGGCGGATTCTCTGCAGTCACCCTCTGCTGGTCCTCAGAAGGAGAAAATCAAGTGTGAAAGAAAAACAATCATGTTGGTAATTATGAAATACTAGAGACCCGGTGTACAAAATTCGTACACGGGTTGGGGGGTGTTCCTCAGCCCAGCCTGCACCCTCTCCAATCTGGGACCCCTCTAGGGATGCCCAGTGGGATCAGGCCTAGACGGGCAGTCAGGCATCCCACTCACAATCCAGGATAGAGGCTTGGTGCATGGGTGGGGGCCAGCTGGTTTGCCCTGAAGGGTGTCCTGGATCAGGGTGAGGGTTCCCTTGGGGTATGGAGCAGCCTGGGCCATGGGCCTGTGGTGGTTTGCAGGGCAGCCACACCCTCGTGAGACCCAAGCAGAGGCCTTGGTATCTGGGATTTATTTATCTTCTATAATTGAAACTTTGTAGCCTTAAGCAGACGCCAAAGCAGGCCAGGGCTGCAGAAGCTTGGCTTCCTCCATCACCAGGGGCAACCCTAGCCTCCTGCTCTCTCCAACTCCGTGGCTGCTGCCATTTTTGTTGGGATTTATTTATCTTCTATAATTGAAACTTTATAGCCTGGAGTGGAGGCCTAGGTTGGCCAGCCCACCCGAGAAGGATGAGGCAAGAGAAGAAATACTAAAGCTGTTCCAGGTCCACAGGCAGGAGGGATGCTCAAGGTGGGTGGAAGAAGAGAGGGGTGTGTAAGTGGACAAGGGCTCCAGGGTGTGCAGAAAGCTTGGCTTCCTACATCATTGGGGAAACCCAAGCCCCCCTACCCCCCCAATTCTGACCAGGGAACCCCATGTTCAAGACAAGTTTTCAGCTGGGCAATTTCTCTTATTTGAAAATTCATGGGGAAGTCTTGTCCCAAGTGCTTGATAGTGTTCTAGGGACATTGGCCAAATTCTTTCCCACCCCTGGCCCCATTCTCCCTGATCTCCACTGGGATTCTCCCCCAGTGCTCCCCATGAAGAACCAAAGGCTAAATCCTTCTATAGTTTCACCTGAGACCTTAGTTCTTATGGGAGCTATTAATTCTCATTTTTCACAATCTCTCTCAGGTGTCACCTGCCAAAAAACAGGCTCCTTGGCTAAGGTCTTCACTGGTCTGGCCTGAGGCCTTTGCAAGGAGGAGGAAGTATGAAAGATGGCAAACAGGACACGTTTGTCCTGAGTGATGTCCCCTGGCTCCAGGGAGCATAGTGTTCTCCTGTGTGGGAGTGCTGGCTGCTATTGCCCATGAGCAGCAGGAAATGATAGTGCTCTGGGTTGAGCCCTTGCCCTCTCTCCCAGGGTCTGCTTAGCCCACCCGAGAAGGATGAGGCAAGAGAAGAAATACTAAAGCTGGTCCAGGTCCACAGGCAGGAGGGATGCTCAAGGTGGGTGGAAGAAGAGAAGGGTGTGTAAGTGGACAAGGGTCCTGGCCACAGAGGATTGGAAGTCACTGGCTTTGCTTACGCCGAGAAGTCAGTCCCAGCAAAGAACATGGCTGGGACTGGCAACAACCTTTCCAAGCTTGAAGCCTCTTAGCAGAGGCAGCTCCACGCTGAAGGGCAAGTCTGAGGTTAGTGCTCCCTGGCTGGAGAAAGCTTATCCTCTCCCCACCTCACCTCAGTGTTGCCTCTGAGAGGGCAGCAGGAGACAGGAGGCACAGAGGACTCAGAATCTGTGGGAAGCCCTCCTCCACTGTCCCCAAGCCAGGAAATCCTCCTCTGACTACAAACAATGTTTCTACTTGGCTGCCCTTGTGATGCAGCCCACATGGCTTCCCAAAGTGGTGGCACAGGATGGGCAACTGGAAGATGAGAGAATAATGAGGGAGAATCTGTGTCCAGCTCTTTCTAGGGGATGATCACAAGGCACTGGGTGGAGAGGACCTGCTGACTGTGGGACTGCCCCTCCCCTCTTTTAGCAAGGCCCACCTTCTCATACATTGCATACATTGCAACCCCCCTTCTCCCCAGGGCAATAGGCAGATGAGGACAGGACAAAAGGTTATGAAGGAGAAGAGGATGAGGAAAACAACAAGATGCAAACAGCACAGCAAGAGAGGAGAAATGGAGAACAAGGAGGAGAAGAGAACAGGAGGAGGAGAAGAGAACAGGAAGACGAGGAGGAGAGAGAACAGGAAGACAAGGAGGAGAGGAGAACAGGAGGACAAGGAGGAGAGGAGAACAGGAGGACAAGGAGGAGAGGAGAACAGGAGGACAAGGAGGAGAGGCGAACAGGAAGACAAGGAGGAGGAGAGGAGAACAGGAGGACAAGGAGGAGAGGAGAACAGGAGGACAAGGAGGAGGAGAGGAGAACAGGAGGACAAGGAGGAGAGGCGAACAGGAGTCCAGTAGGAGGAGAGGAGAACAGGAGGACAAGGAGGAGGAGAGAACAGGAGGACAAGGTGGAGGAGAGAACAGGAGGACAAGGAGGAGAGGAGAGCATATTGATTTTTCATATTGATGTTCTATCCACAAACAATCAATATGGAAACTTCAACCTTAAATGACACACTAAATCAGATTTCTAGTACTCTTTTTATTATCATTTGCTTTTTCTTATTATTCTTGTTCTCTTTCCAAAGAGAACCACAAAATAATTACTTTTTTTTTCTGTTGCTCTTGAGTTCTTTTGTATGTTTTCATTTATTTCCTGTTTTGCTTTGTTTTGTCAGCACCTGTGCAACAGCTTGCACATTGTGGTCAGGGTGAGCCTCACAGTTAGGCTGCTTGAGAGGAGAGCCCACACATAAATGAGACAACAATAATTAATACCCAATTACAACAGGAGAACCCAAATAACCCACAAAATGATACTCCTAGAGCATTCATATCAGAGTTCAAGGACACCATACCACTGGGCCCCAAAGGAAATTTACTACTAAAGGTCACTACATGAAGACTGGGAGTTATAGCAGTTATATCTAATACATAGCAACAAATGCAAAAAGATAACTAAAATGGGGAGACAAAGAACACCCAAATGAATGAAAAGAAGGAATATCCAGAAAAAAGAAATAAATTATATGGAACTAAAATATTTAACAGACATAGAATTCAGAATAATGGTTCTAAGGACGCTCAAGAAATTTAAATACAACTACATCAGCATGGAACTTAGAACTACATCAGCATGACAAAGTACATAAATAACAACCAGTTGGAAATGAAGAATATTATAATTGACATCAACAATACACTGGAGCCTGACCAGCATGGCTTAGTGGTTAAGTGTTGACCTAGGAAACAGGAGGTCACACTTTGATTCCCAGGCAGGGCCCATGCCTAGGTTATGGGCTTAGTTCCCAGTTGGGGGCATGTCAGAGACAGCCAATTAATGATTCTCTTCCTCTCCTTTCCTCTCTGAAATAAATAAAAATATATTTAAAATTATACTGGAAGGAATTAAAAAGCAGGCTTGATGAGACAGAGGATTAAATAAGTGATTGGAATACAAGGTAGATAAAAACAATCAAATAGAGAAGCAAAAAAGAAAAAAAAAACACTTAAAAAGCATGAGTAAAGCTCTAGTTGGTTTGGCTCTGGGTTGTGGGCTCAGTTTCCAGTAGTGGGCGTGCAGAAGACAGCCTGTCAAGATTCTCTCTCATCATTGATGTTTCTATCTCTCTCCCCCACTCTCCCTTCCTTTATGAAATCAATTAAAAATTAAAAAAAAAGCTTGAGGAGACTATAAGGAAACTTGGAGACAACATGAAATGGAACAACATTCACGTCATAAGGGTATCAGAGGGAGAAGAAAGCGAACAAGGGATAGAAAACTCTTTGAAGAAATAATAACAAAAATCTTCCCTAACCTGGTGAAGGAAAAAGTCATTCAAGTTCAGGAAGCACAGAGAGTCCCAATTAAGTTCAACACAAAGAGACCACAGTAAGACACATCATAATTAAAATGGCAAACATTAGCTGGGACCGGTTTGGCTCAATGGAGAGAGTGTCGGCTTGGGGACTGAAGGGACCCAGGTTCGATTCCGGTCAAGGGCATGTACCTTGGTTGCGGGCATATCCCCAGTAGGGGGTGTGCAGGAGGCAGCTGATCGATGACTCTCTCTCATCGATGTTTCTAGCTTTCTATCTCTCTCCCTCTCTGTACAAAATCAATAAAATATATTTAAAAAAATAAAAAATAAAATGGCAAACATTAAAGACAAAGAGAGAATTTTAAGGCTAGTGTGAGAGAGAGACAGAAAGTTACCTATAAGGGAGCTCCCATAAAACTGTAAGCTGAAACACTACAAGCCAGAAGGGAATGGCATGAGTATTCAAAGCAATGAAAATTAAAGATCTGAAATTAAGACTAATATATGCAGTAAGGCTATCATTCAAAACTGAAGGTAAAATAGTTTCCTAGACACTCACACACATAAAAGCCAAAGGAGTTTATTATCTATCACCAAACCAGAATTGTAAGAAATGCTAAAGGGATTATTGGAAGCTGAAGCAGAAGCAGAAACAGAAGCAGAAGCATAAGCAGAAGCAGAAGAAGAAGGAGATATCCATAAAGAATAAAATGAAAAAACGTATCAATCATAACCTTAAATGTAAATGGCTTACCTGCTCCAATGAAAAGAGACAAAAAAAAGGAGAAACCAAGATGGCAGCATAAGGTAAACACCTAAATGTAGCCTACCACAACAATTTTAAAATTACAACTGGAAAACAGAGTGGACATCTTCCAGAACCACCAGAAAGCTGGCTGAGTGGAAGCTATACTAACTAGAAAAAAAGAGAAAAGGACACTGAGCCTCAGGAGCTGTGGATGTGTGGAGATCCGTGAGCGCGGAACACGCGGGTGGTTGAATATGCTGCTGGCTTACTCGTGCACGCATGTGAGTGGAGAGGGCGGGCAGCTAACGTGCGGCTAGCTTTCTCGTCTGGGAGGAAAACAAAA